TATCAAGTTACTTGTGATTTCAGACATAACCAGAATGGTAAAGGAAGCCAGCAACATATAATGTTTGTTTATCCAGGAAGGCTGCATCTAGACTGGCAAGTTTTTCCGCAAAAGCAATCGCTTTTGCGGAAAAACTTGCCAGCTGTCTACACTGGCTGCTTGAATTTTCACAAGAACACTGATGATCTCATGTAAGAAATCAGTGCTTCTTGCAGAAATACTATGCTGCTCCCGTTCGGGCAAAAGTCAGTGTAGACAGCTCAGATTTGTTTTGCGCAAAAAAGCCCCGATCGCGAAAATGGTGATCGGGGCTTTCTTGCACAAAACCGCCTCTAGATTGGCACAGATGCTTTTCCACAAAAAGTGCTTTTGCGGAAAAGCATCTGTGCCAATCTAGATGCTCTTTTCTGCAAATGCTTTTAACGGAAAACTTTTCCGTTAAAAGCATTTGCAGAAAATCATGCCAGGCTAGACGTAGCCGAAGTGTCATAGCAAAATGCTGATGCTTCTGCTACCCACAATCTAAACAATAGCTATTGTTACAAGTCTTCATTCAAAAAAAGAAAATGTTAAACTTATCTCTTGGAACTTTCCCTTTACATAGCCTTGATCTTCATGCACACCTTCTTCTGGGTGCACAAATGGCCCTTGTGGCTCAGGCTGTCAGCCATCTGGCTGTATACATCCATATTTCTGTGCCTGGTGCAGAGATCCTGGAGGTTTGCCTCATCTCTCCAGACCTCAATAAGGCACAGGATCTCTGCATCAGACCAAGAAGATGTGCGCGTCTTTTGTCCCGACAGGATCCTAGGAGCTTGCTGCCTGCTTGGATGCAGCTATGGAGGGATCAGACAGAGTATGGGGAGGTCTTTTGTGTCAGCAGGGACATCTGTGGTGGCTGCAGCTATGTGGCACAAGTCTGTCAGGGCCTGCGTTTTTCCACAAGACCTTTCCCCAGTGGCTGCGGCTTTAAGGGCTGCAGGAGAAGAGGAATTATAGAGTTCTGATAAGTGTGGCCAGAGTGGCCAGCAGGGCACCCATGGAAAGCCCTAAGGGCCTCTTATTTCAAAAGAACCACAGCTGTGCTGTCTACACATGCCCTGTTCCAAAATAGGAATAAGATGCCTGTTTTCCTTGAAAAATGAGAGTCACAGAATTTGAAATAAGATGCCTGTTATTTTGAAATTATTTTGAAATAATGGGCTTGCTGCGTAGATGCTCACTGTTATTTCAAAATAACACTGCTGAGTAGATGTGCCCCTAGTGAATATGCATCAAACAGAACGGTGTCAGTGTAACATATTATAATAGTCCTATGAGTGAGAGGAGAAAGTGATGTAGTCCTGGGAAGACACCAGAGCAATGGTCACTGGTGATGATGTGGAAGGTGATGAGGAAGATGAAGGCTAAAACTTCAGGTTGTTCTACAAGGGATGGTGTGAGTATATGTAAGCGGAGTTGTACATTCCCTAAGATCTCTTATCTCACTGAGCTGGGGTGTTTGCAAGTGTGCTAAATGTAGTAATAAGCTATATTTTTAAATGTAAAAGGGTTCCTTTAGTGCAGCGATTCCCAACCTTTTCCAGATGGGGACCGATTTTGACAATTCAGGAAGACTTGCTGACCCAAAGCAATTCAAAAATGGGGGGAGGAGAGGGAGCAGAGCCACCTGGGGAGACACTTTTGAAATGTAATGGCGACACATATTTGGGTCCTGACCCATAGGTTGGGAAACCCTGCTTTAGTGTGAGTGTTGCAACTGTGTACCTTGGGGTCCTCGACTATATAACAATTTAAATAATGCTGGCCCTGATCTTGGGACAAGAACTGATCAACCATCAAAGTAACTATAGTTGTCAGACATCACATGTGTGATGTCCTGACAGGTATCATGTTCTGTCCAATGATGATAACTGTTTGTCTGTGTTCATTTGCATATGCTCCCTCTGTATATTATACCAGCTCTGAGCAGATAGCTAGCATAGTAAATGCCATGGGAGCCCCCAACGACCACAGAATCAGATAAGGTATGAAGGCACCCAAGCCAAGTTTATTGTCAAATGGAGTACAGTAATAGTTGTCAGCAGACTCCACTGAATCACTAAGCATATGTACTCCCAACAAAGGCCTCAGCTCAATCAATGGTGGGATGCTCCATTTCCCCCTAATCTGAATAAAGAGTACCCCAACATTTATAGAAAGAGACAAAGAATCTGAGATACACACCTTACATATCATCTTATGTGTTCATGACATATTTGTTACCCCCTTGTATTTTCCTGCAAAGCAGTCCTATCCACCACCTGTTATTATGCTTTCATTCCTGATGCTTCAGACAAAATATCACTATTTTATCACGTGCTAGGTTGGGGTTTCCTTGTACTGTCATGGTGGAATGTATTTACATGCTCTACGTGTTTTAGCAGTGCTAGCCATGCTAGCACTAGCCGAGTTCTTGTCCCTGACACTGACTTGCAGGCAAACATCTGCTTTTGACAGGGCTTCACAATATAATTCTTGCTCACTTTGGTTCAGGCCTACAGCCTTACACCAGGCCCATGCCTCAGGCTCTTTCTTTCTCCTACAGTCATTACTGGGGATTCTTAAGTAAGCTATATAATTAATATGCAGTCTAAATATCAGGCAATGTTACATTTCTATTTTTAGCTTACAGACTTGATCAGAACTAGTATGGATATGGCTGTGCAATCTGGAAATCGTGCCTCCAGCTCCAGTGTAGATATACAGTTGGTCCACGAGCACTAATGGGGATGTATGTGGGGCTCAATGCGCAGCCCGTGGGTGAGATCCTTTGAACATGGACTCCACTGGCAACACACTCCACAATGATGAGGTATCTCCCAGGTAGGGTGAACATTGAAAGAATCAAGCGGACGGGATGGCTGGAACAGACGGGTAAAGGGTGTTGGCATTTCTAGCCCCCAGGGATGAGGTGCTGGGAGCACCAAGGCATTGTGGGAAGTGTTGGCTGCTTAGCCTTGTGGGCAGAGCCTGAGAGGTGCTGACTGACTCACATTGGCCATGTTTGGGTTCAGTGACACGGCAGGGCAGCCCTGCCTCCATCTCGCAAAGAGCGACGGACTCCCACATTGGGACACCAGCCCTACTGGGAATCCAGGACGGGGCTTCCAGGCACGTGGGTTTTTTTGCCTCTTGTGTCTGGCCAAACTCGCCTAGCCCCCTGCCCACTGCAGGTTGGAATGCTCTAGCTTGGAAACTTTTCTTTTAACAGTAAAATCACTCCAAGAAATGCACAACCTGAAGCTTCAAGCTAAACACCCAAAACACCGGTATACAATTTTCTTTTTAATAAGCATTACAAATGGCAACAAAGAAGAGACGCTTGTTGGATGAACACAGGGTTTTCAACCCTATTTGGGAGATGGAAATTACTTTTGCAGAGGTAAATGGAAAACCAATGTCTTTCTTATCAAAAGACTATCGCTGCATTAAAGAAAACAAACCTGAAATGGCACCATGAATCTTGTCACCCTGAGTTCAAACACTTGTAGTCACCTGACAGCAATTAAAAAACCTCCGTGTCACGCGTTTGCTTTATTCGGGTCCCACACCCCGTTAGTTTACAGTGAGTAGTGTGCCCCGACCGATTTGTAACGTGCCTTCCCCTTGAGCCAACTGTGAAGGCCCTCAAGGGGTAGTTCAAGAAATTGGGGAGAGAACATTGATTTAGAAAATTAAGTAGTCATATATTAGTAATATTATCATAAATTGACTTGCCTTAGACCTTAGATATCAGATCAGTCAATCAAATAATGCCCTTTTCCGGAAGATCCCTTATTCCTACTTTCAAGTTAGGAATAAGGGATCTTCCAGAATAGGGCTTATTTTCCGCAAGATCCCGTCTAGACTGGCGCTTTCTTCCGGCAAAACCCCGAGCCCGGAAAAAAGCGGCAGCCATGTTCATGCAAATGCCGCGGGGGATATTTAAATCCTCCGTGGCATTTGCAATTCCAAAGTGTCTCATTAGCATCCTTTTTCCGGAAAGGGGTGCCAATGTAGACACAGCCAGAGAGCTTGAATAATTGCAAGTGTCCATTTTATTGCATAATACAGAACTAACTGGAACCAGCCCAAACCAGCTGGGCTGATCCCGAGTGACCTAAGTCAGTTACTATAACAAGAAGATCTATATCTACAACCCAATACACAACATATTCCTCCCCCCTTAATAAAAAGTCCCTTTAATAAAACAAACACTGACTATGGAATGAGGGTAGACTGCCTCAAGTTCCCAGCTAATCCCGGGATTATTTTGCCCCATCTGTGAGAGAACCTCAACTAAAGGTCTAGCGATTAAGGAGGCCTTCTTTCTCTAGTTGGATTATGGCGGACTTCTGGCGTTCTTGCACCAGAAGGTGTTATGGGTGCGGGCTTGACAATGGGCTGGGAACTTGAAGAGCAAACAGGTGAGGCTGTTGGATCAGCCTGCTCAGGGAGGAGGTTTATGTTTGCTGTAGGACGTGATGGAGGAGAGTCAGGAGTAGGTGATTCTTGATGCCCGTCCTCCCCTCTGCTGGTGAGCTACTGCAACTCAACTGGAGATGTGTCTTAGGAGCAGGCATAACCTGGCAATAACTGATCTATATGGCGCCACCAGATGAGATCCTCTGCAGTCCTGACAGTATAGGACACAGGTCCAGTTTGAGCAATAATAGTGGCAGGGACCCATTTAGCTCCAGGAACATAGTTCCAAGTGAAAACTGGCTCTCCAGGATTAAAGGTTCAGTCTTTTGCTCTGGATGCATGCCTGATGACTTGACCTTGCTGCTGATGTTGCACAATTTGTCGCGGTTCTGAAGGTTTCAGCAAATCAAAGCATGTGTGTAGCTGACGTCCCATCGTTAGAAAAGCCGTGGACACTTTGGTTGTAGCATGAGGAGTGTTTCTGTAGGATAGTAAGAAGGTGTCCAGACTCTTTTGCATGAGTGAATGTCCTCTAGCCAATTTCAAAGCTTGTTTCATGTCTGCACAAACCTTTCAGCTAATCCATTCATGGATGGATGGTATGGTACTGAAATGATGTGATGGATCCTATTTGCTTTCATAAAATTTCCAAACTCCTGAGACACAAACTGTGATCCATTGTCACTCACAAGTTGTTCTGGAAGACCAAAAAGACAAAAGATTCCCCATATTTTTTGGGTAGTACTCTCAGCAGTAGTGGAAGACATTAGAGAGACTTCTGGCCACTTGGAGTGAGCATCTACCACACCAAGAACATGCTACCTTCAAATAGGCCAGCAAAATCAATGTGAAGATGTTGCCATGGTTTTTCAGGCCGGCCCCATGGGTGTAGAGGTGCCAAATGAGGTGCCTTCCTCACACATTGGCATGAAATACAAGCTCTCGCCTTCTCTTCAATGGCACTGTTCAAGCCAGGCCACCAAAAATAGCTTTGTGCGATTTCTTTCATGTGCACCATTCCACAGTGACCTGAATGCACCTGTTCTAACATCTGTTGCAGCCTAGAGAGACCATCTGCATTGCCATGTAGAGTGGCTTTCCGATATCTGATCTCATATGTGTGTCCTGAAAGCCACAATGCCCATCGTTGCATACGACTAGCAGCCATTGGTGGAATACCTGAGTGTGGACCAAAAATTGCCGTCAGAGGTCGATGGTCAGTGAGAAGTGTAAACTTCCGTCCAAACAGGTACTGGTGAAATTTCTGAATTCCAAAAACGATTCCCAATGCTTCACGTTCAATTTGCGCATAGTTAGTTTCAGCTGTGCTTAAGGTGCGTGAAGCAAAAGCAATTGGTTTCTCCTCTCTGGAGGGCATAACATGTGACAAAACCACTCCCACTCCATATGGGGAGGCATCACAAGCCAACTGTAAAGGTAAGGATGGATCAAAATGCGTCAGGACCTCTGCATTTAGCAATGCACATTTAGCCTTGTTAAATGCAACATCACAGGCGTCAGTCCACTTCCAGACCTTGTTCTGGCCAAGGAGCTCGTGAAGTGGTTTTAATAGTGTGGCTAGCTGTGAAATAAACCTTC